AGCTTAGTCAAGGGTTGGGGTCAAGGTGGATGACAAACTTTGATATGGAGGAGAACTGGTCCACACGATGTGGTGAAGGGAAGGAGAGGGAAAGTCATGTCACATACTACGGCATTCAGTGTGACCTAATCGCCACCACGACAACGACAGTTGTGTCACAAAAGTTCTCCTAAACACGTAATTGTGGTATCAGGTGATTTATAATCATCGCTTCTAAAAATTGCAATGACCGTGACCTTTGAGGTTTCACAAAGACTTGAAACGTTTTGAGTAAGTCTTACAAATACTATGCAATAGAACTGGATGTTAGTTTCTTTCCACGAAGACCAACGTATATCGGGACATTTTCGCACATTCTGGTTGACCGAAGACATTCTGTCCTTCCGATGTACTTCTGACCGCAGGCACAATGATATGAATAGATACAGTTTGAAGTAGCACTAACGTCTTCTCGATCCAGATTAGTGAGAGTGATACAGCGAAATGTCTCGTGGGGAATTATTATTTTAGCGGCATTGTGTGTTCTTTCTACTGTTCGCGGTAAACAATATGGTAAACAACACCATATACTCTGAAAGGTAGGTAGGTAGGTGTTACATACACATTCGTCCATCAGGTCCCATTGATCATCCAATCACGTGATACAGTTGTTCATAACAGACACTGACCAATCTGTTTTGTCCGTGAGCCAGATTGACCTAGTTTTAGGCCACCTTTTAATCGATCACACGATTAATCATTAAATCCTTAACCCAGTTACGATCAGCATGCCCTCTTGTGTGTTCTGATTTATGTGTTGGGTTACAAGTCTCTAACAGTACTGTGCATTATCGCCGCGCTTGGAATTCGGTCTTGACCGAATCTCTGTGCTTGTGAATGAATTTATTGGGATAAACATTGTCCAGCAAAGCACGGGTCAATNGGTCCAGGTTCTCTGGGAGGAATCGCGGGCTACGTAGGCGGTGAACCCTGTGAAACAGAGTACACGCTATAGACCACGTTTGTATCCTACAAGGCAGAAATATCCTTAGGTGTAGATGTGCTATTCACCTAGGCTTCCGATACCCATATGTATTGATCAAACCCGTGAAACACTCTGACACTCTCATCAAATTTGCTCCTTCCATTTCGTGTTTTGAGCCTAATTCACCGGATTGAATTTAATATGGTTCTACATCAGACGCAACATATCCGTACTAATATTCACTAATGCATTTATTTAAAGTAGAAAATTTTCATTAATCGGTTTATTTATTCAATTCTATTGATCAGAATAAATGCCCTCATGAAACAGTTATTATTTATTAGAAAGAATAAACTTTTATGTTGCTTCGCCTAAAATATTTTTCTTAAAATTCTGAGCCGTAACTTTTGAACTACCACCAATTTTATCGCAACACTCAAGGCCACTCCAATTCAAATGGCGAATGATGAAGAACTAAGTACATTATTCAGAACGGACACCCTTCACCGGTAGGTGTCGACATACACGTATGATATTGACAACTGGAATGTATTTCCGAAACGAGAGTCACGTTGTACGAGTTCGATCAATACCGGTAGATAGTTGACGTTGCTCATCTGACACTCGGTTGAGCAGCGAGCAGTGAGAAATGCAAATTTGGAGTGCATTTCACATTCAATAGTGTCAGTTTGATACTGGGATGAACGGAGTTCAATTTGTGCAATCCTATCTGAACATCTGTTTCATGGAGTAAAACCTATGTATCATCAATGTTTTGATCATATCGTAGGGCTGAGTTCAGTTTGTCTTATATTTCGCTTCAAACTGTTGACAAAAAAATCTCGAAAATAACAATTGGCCCTAAAGGACTACTCTACCCACAGCTGCACAGCTGCATCAACCATTGTACAGATACTTCCGTTGAAGATAAACTGTGCGTCGCGAATACAGCCGGGTGAGGGAAGAAAACATGTCTATCTGTCTTGACTTGGTTGGAAGCATTCACAATATGAATACTTGTTTCAAACTTGTCGTCAATCGCTTTTTTAAGCCACGCCGGAATGTGTTCGATGACATAGCTGCCCTTCTGTCCTATCAATGTATAGATGGCTGAGAATCCACACCTGAATTAGTAAATGCAGTTTGGTTTGGTGTAGGGGGGCAATGGTTCTTTAATTCCTGTCGTTGCTACCGGGTGGTAATGAAGACAATGGACGGCTCTAGCCATTCACACTCTCAAGCCCGATCTACGCAATCAACGTGATTGTTTAGTCACAAAGTAGATTGCATGATTTCAGGAGAAGAGTGCACACGAAGCGCTAGTGCAACGGATCGAGCAGCTTAGGTCCTTTTAAGATAATTCATTATTACGGTACAAGGATAAGAATTCGCATTTAGTGACATTGAAGTCAATGTTGTAGACCATTGATAAGCTGCGTTTAGTGTATCTTGAAGAGATAGCGAGCCCCAGTTTTCTGTTACTGTATTCCACATTTTGGTGACGTCTACAAACAGAATGGATTTGGCCCAAACATATTCGATAGATCATTTATAATTGCAAGAAAAGGTCGGTGACCAAGGACACACCTTTATGAAACACCGCTGGTAAAGTTGATAGAACGAGGCAGGGAACCAGATATACGAAATGATACGTTACTTTGTCGAATATCAGCCAAAATACCTCGAACGCCATGACCATAAAGATTCTGTAACAGTATCTGGTCATTGCTTTCGGGAAGAATAGACAAATCACATCCACCGCGTCCCCTTCGTCGATTGTTCTAACCTACTTAGTTCCGAATAAGATGCATGTTGGTTGAACAAGATCCGTTTTGTCTGAAATCACGTTGAGCTGGCAAAAGACTGTTGTATATTTCTTTGTTCCATCAATAGACTTCATACCTTTGGATAATTTTGGACGGAGGGTTACAGGTAGGTAATTGGCGGGGTCATCACGATTGCGAGAGTGAAGTATGGTTGAACATTCGCTGTAATAGGATGGCTAGTGTTTAGATATATCAATTGCTGGAGTAGGATAGACCGAGGTTAACAAAAAGCTATGCGTGGTACTAATGGGAGGAGAAAAGATGTTGAAGTGGGGTTAGGAACGAACAAAAGTATAGGATCTCTTCAACTTGGCTTTTGTAGTTACTACTCACTATTAGGTGCAACCACTATTCCACTTGAAAACCTTGAAATGCTTTCTCGGCATAATTCACTGTTTTACTGGTATACGACGTGAACATAAAACACCATTCCAAACACCTGTGCTCCAAAGTTTAACGATCGATCTCAGATCTGGGCTGAAATTTAGTCGTTGAATAACCTTGAAGCCAATGATATGACCAATTGCTTTTTATAAAATATGTTCTATTTCTGTCAATTAACATTGGCACTTGCTGCTCCCAATTCCGGATTGGAGCCAATCCAGTTCTGAGTATCCCAGTACGGGTTCTCGTATTCCTATATTGAATAAAATCCCGATTACTACAACGGTTCTCGCTCGTTACGGGGTCACGTCACTTATTGCAGCTGGTCTATCCGATCGACCAATGCATCAAAACATTCGATCGTGTGCTTTTCGGACTAGCCCAGAAGATGGAGTTATAAACCCGACAAGGCCGAAGTGGGAAGAATCTCACTTACTGTGATCACGTTGTGCCAAAACTTGACTGATCGCATATACAGTTAGTACTCTTCTATGCTTGTCTGAAACAGACCTAGAAGAAAGTATCATCACTCGCCCCCAAATGTTTCACAGTTTGCAGAGCACGGGACAGCTGTTTTGTCCTTGATTTCATCCATCAACCATGCTTGGTAGTTGTTTTCATCGATCAAACTGTACCAGTGGAGATATAGTGAAGCGCGCTCCGAGCTCATTCATATTACCTAATCCCATTGTTATCATCCTCCAACTCTGACATTGACCCGTTTTCCACAATTTCACACAATGATCAGAAATTTGTTTTCACTGAAAGTTGTCAGTACCACCCTAGCCAACAGTTTGCACCTGCGTATCCAATAAATGCGAAAACAAAAGATATGAAGTCAGAGATTTGAAACGAAGCGGGTTGATGACAGTCAACAGACCTGATAAAGCCGAAAAATATCCCCACCCCCCCTCCGTACCGGATACAGAGAATGGCAGACACGATGCTAAAATCAAAGTATTTCTATTTTTGGACTAACAGTCAAGAAAGTGTCCAGACGGCGTAGAGACTCCGTAGACCACAACCAACTAAGCGAGCGGAATGCCGAGAGAGCATTCTTGATAATCGATCAGGGCTGGTCAATGTCATCACGGGGGTTGGGGGGTTGGTTCTAGATTTTTATCTAGAGTGTTCTGAAAACCAGCTAGGCGTGCTGGTTCCGACAACTGAATGTATTCGGACCGTCGTTGTGTGGTGCGGTGAGAACGGCCATCGAAGCAGAAACTAATGCGCAAACTAATGCGTGGTCGTCGGATTCGCGGGGAGTGCACCAGTACGATCAACAGTCTTGTGTGCAGCCCGCCGTTTGTGGCTTATGGAGAGGTGGTCGATCTGCGTCCATTGCTGACTCGTCCGTATATTAATCAAATGCAATCAGGAAGTTATCTCAATATTTTATTACGAGCGGGTGAGAACGATCGAACAGCTTGTAAGGCCTAATCCGCAGATTGCATGAAATCCGGAGAGGACTGGCATTTCCGTCCGTTCTCCTATCGTTCCCCTTCAAATGTCACTGGGATAAACTTATAATATCTCTATATTCAATGCATACCACCTTTTCATCTTACACAAGACGGCCTAATGAAACTACCGGGGTGATATTCCATACGTTGCCCCAACTCTATCGCACACGATCAACAAGTTCGCGCGTATACACTGAGAATGAGTATCAGTTGACAGATAAATTTATTTAGATAATTCAATCAATCAGTGCGAAGATAGTTAGTGATTCGGTTAGTTAGCCTCGAGGAACTTTTATGGGGTTATGATAGACGTATTGCTCGGACAGTGGCGGCTCCAGTCTCCGTCTACCGGCACAATCCAGATCAGGTACTGGTGACACTCGGCGGAGTTGTCAAACGAACCAGAATATTCAACGAATCCAAACGCGAACAACATGCGCACCGAGGCTCAATGAACCCAGGTTTTCCAATCGAATTCACGCATTGTTGGTACGCGGTGTCCAGTGTCGCCCTCAGATCGACCAACGGGATGAACAGAGTGAGCTCAGGCATTGTACCTAGATTCAATTTGTCAGAATCTCTGACTACGGGCAGTTGTTGGTTGCTGAATAACAAATAGAGCGTTTGAGTCGGGAGCTTGGGCACACCGAACGGATTCAATAAAGTTGTGTTCCATCGGGTGAACTGACGCGGATCGATACGGACCACCTGAGCCGAGTAGCTCTGCGATGAGCTAGCCGAACTGACATACACGGCAAACAGATTGTTTGACACAGTACAAACGGATCGGATCAAATTGTCAAGCAACCATTGTTTGATTTGCCCGGTCGCTTCAAACATCACATTCGGTTGTCGTGGCACCACAACGGATGGTGTGGTCTCACATCGCCTTTGCCAGCTCACAGTTGGTCCGATCGTGTAGACAACGACGTCTTTGTCTGCACAAACACTGCCTGATTGGAATGTACTCAAGCTGAGTAGAACGAGCACCAGTATTTGCGTATTCACTTGCATTGTGAGTTGTCGTCAGATCGAGTTCCTTGTCCTGTTGTCCTGATGGGATCAATGTGAATTGGTTTCTCGGCTTCGGCTGCCCGTCACTCTGTTGTCCAAGTTTATATACAAATTTGCATATGGCGCAAAACAGTTCAATGCCGGCAAACGATGTGATCGTCACATGTGATCCGTGAAATTGGTTTATGCCCCCTATCTATGCAGACGAGGGTATTTTCGTGTCCCGTTTATCGTGGATTGCCACCATGAAGGCGTTGGTTGAGGTGCTCATAATGGATACCGGTAATTCTGTGGTTCATTGACAATCGTCTTACTGGAAATCCGGGAATCATTGACCATCTGATGTCTGTGAACTAGTTCCTCGCTTGGCTAGATTCCATCGTGGGCAGGGGACCGTTGCATCCCGGATTTCGGCTGTTCAACCATTGCATAATTTATTCGTTTTGTCGACGAGCTGAAACTTTATCATATACATACGAATGCAGTTATAAAATCTATGAATTTCCGAAATTAGGAACAATCTGGTGTTATCATTTCGGGTGTGTAACGAT